GGTTTGCCATTGCCTTCCCCTGAGGCTGAGAGCATGTGACTTACCCAAAGGTTTCATGGCTGAGCAGGGAATCGAACCCAAGCCTCCAGAGTCATAATCCAACACTCAAACAACTACGCCACACTGGTGCTTATAATAATAATAATAATAATAATAATAATAATAATAATAATAATAATAATTGTAAAATTGTTTTATCCTTTAAGATTTTTAACACATTTGCCTGATGAAGAAGCCAGTGATGCTCGAAAAGCTTGCAACATGTATTTTGTGCATTTTGATTGGCTCCATAAAGTTATCACTGCTGTGTGGATTTTGGATGTTATTGCACTTTATTTTTTATGTTACACATAGGAACTCCGGGGTTTAGCCCACCATCTGATCAAACCTCCTTTTGGAAACGTGTATTTTTGAATGTTGAGAACAATACACGACCCCTTTGTCAATACTGTGAAGATGGATTAGTTTTACAGTGGTAGATATTTGGTTTATTAACTAAAATTGGGAAGAGGAAGAGAAAGAGGGAACTGAATATTATAATATAACTATACACTAAGAAAAGAGCACCAGTGTGATCTAGTGGTTTGAGCGTTGGACTATATGACTCTCAAGACCAGGATCTGAATCCCAGCTCAGCCATGTAAACCCACTGGGTGACAAGTCACACTTTCTCAGCCTCAGAGGGAGGGAATGAAGAAACTTGCCAAGAAAATCCCGTTATAGGGTTGCCATAAGTCCGAAATGACCTGAGGACATGCAACAACAGCAGCAATGATAAATTAAGGAACATTGTAATGGGAAAATGTAATTTTAAAAAAGATTTTATGCACAGGGTAAGATGCACAGTTTCAGGCACGCGTTCACTTTATTCTGATGCACCAGTCACTTCCTCTCAGCGGCTGTGATTTCTCTTCTTCCTCTTTATGGTTTTGCTTTTTCACAAAAATATATCGCTCACAAAACCCTTAGAGCTGCCCTGCTGGGTTGGAGTCAGCCTTCCTTCTGGATCACGCAACTGCCTTTTCTCTATAGGTTGCCAACTTTTTCTTCTAGCGTTGCTCCTGCGCCTTTAACGGAACCAGCCCATATGTAGGAACTGAAGATGTGCAAAGAGATGAGCTTCCCCGGTTAAGATTTCCAGAGGGCCAAAGCTTCTGTGAAAAACACAGATTCAGCATTCTGGGTGGGTGAAAATTGGCAGCATTGAGCAGCAGCATGGGAGGAAGATGCGCTGGGGAGGGAAGAGGTCAACTTTAGACCCTGTTGCTCAATTCCTCCTTTGGCTCTTTTGCAAGGAGGGTCATGGGGTAGTGGGAGGGAAGGCTGGCTGTCATGTGAGACAGAGAGATCAGGGTATTTAAAGCCAAGCCTTGGCTTGGGTGCTCCCTTTCCATTTCTCCAGGGACTCCCTATCCCATCATCTCAACATCTGTGGCTCTGCAAAGAGATGCACCATGGCCTTTTCTGGCAGGCTCTCTGGGGGACTCTCCCTTCTGCTGGTGATGCTCTCTCTGGCTCAGGCAGGTAAGTCTCCCATTGCATCTCATGCCTCCAAGGATTGCAAAACAGATCCCATGCAGGCACATGGGTTGATCCCAGGGCTGGATTCAGACATGCTGAGGCCCTCATCCAGGTCAGGTTCAAGAAGCTACAGAGCACTACTTCCCAGTATGTATATATACTACACCAACTGGGATTTTTTAACTCCAGTTTTTGCTCATTTCCCCCCAATTCATAGAAGCCTTGATCATTTGATGACTTAAAGCAGTGATTCCCAAACTTTGGTCCTCCAGGTGTTTTGAACTTCATTTCCCAGAAGCCTCAGCCACCTTGGCCAACAGTCAGGAATTCTGGCCGCTGAAGTCCAAAACATCTGGAGGACCAAAGTTTGGGAATCACTGACTCAAAGTCTTAAACCAAAGGTGGGAATTGTGCCACCGTCCAGATGTTGAGAGCCATCCTGGTGCAGTGGCTTGAATGTTGGCCTAGAACTCTCGAAAACCGGGCTTTGAATTCCAGCTCAGTCATGGAAACCCGTTGGGTGACCTTGGGCAAGTCACACTCTCTCAGCTTCAGACAAAAGCCATAGCTAACCACCTCTCCATGGATCCTCTCTTTTTGGGGACATCACTCGGAATGAATTTTGAGCCAGGGTGATGATAGTGGCTTCAGTGTTGGTCTAGGTCTCTGACAGGTCCAAAACACACTGCAGAAATAATCCTGTTTGAGACTGCTTTAAC